AACTGCGCCCAGAGAAGGGGCGCCCCGGGCGGCGGGGCGGGCGCCGGGTCGAAGGTGGGCTGGAGCTCCGGACAGACGTCGGGGGAAGGCACGGAAGCCTCCCCCGCCGAGTAGGTGAACCCATTGCCGTTGTTGTTGTTGTTTCCGTTGTGAGCGAAGCTGAGAGCGGGGCTGGGGGGGCTGTAGTCCGCCAGGCGCGGGGTGGCGGCCGCGCTGCCGCCGGTCCCCCCGCCGAAGTAAGAGTCTGTGGAGGCGCTGCCAAGCGAGCTGGAGCTGTCGTTGCGGTAGCTGTTTTTTTCCGGGGGTGGGGGTGATGCTGGGGGTGGGCTTGCTCCAGAGGCTGCCCGGGCCGGACCCGCCGGACCCGTGGTGCAGATCGAAGCCCACATCCGTGCCGTTGGCGTGGAAGTCGTTCTCGTCGGTGAGCTCGATGATGCCGCCGGTGCGCAGGGCGATGTGCGCCTCGATCTCCTCGCGAGCGCGGTCCACGTTCTCAGGCATGCCGGTCACCTCGAACACGGGCTCCTTGTCGCGGCTGGGCGTCACGATGTACGTGTGCGTCTGCTGCTGGATGCGCTTGATCGTGGCGCCCTTGGGCCCCACCACGAGTCCCACCACTCGGTAGGGCACGCGCACCTGGATGGTGGTCTGCCCGGGTAGGTTGGGCGGCCCCGGCACCGCGCCGTTGAGCGCGGTGTTCTTATTCCGCGAGGCGCGGATCATGGAGAAGTGCTCGGCGGCAGAGATGATCTCCCTCCGAGCCATGGCCACATCCTCCTTCCTGCCCGTCACAACAAAGACAGGCTCCTCCCCGCGAACCGGGGTCTTGATGTAAGTATTGGTCTTCGCCCGCAGTGCTTTGATTTTACAACCTGGGAGCCGGGGTGCAGGGGAGGGAGCGGGAGAGAGAGACACAGACACGCCCATTACCCCGGGAAAACCGCGGAGACCTGGGACGGCCCGCTACGCGGCTGCGGAACGCAGGACACACGAGGGGCGGAAGGGGGGCGGATCCCGCCCCGACCCGGCGGAGCCACCGGCCGAGCAGCGGGTTCCACCCGCGAGGCGCTCGAGGAACACCCATTGGCTGCCCAGTCCTCCCCCAGCGACTGCAGTCGTCCGGAGCCAAACCCCAGAATCCCAGAAAAAGTCAGCTGGGGAGACGCCGCTGGGATCCAGCAGGGCGCGCCGTACGCCCTGAAGACGGGGCGCAGGGGTTCGCGGAGAGCAGCCGGAGCCGGGATCCCCCAACGCCAGGGGACCGCTAGGAAGGGAGGCAGTCCCGGGACCCATTGTTCCTACTCTGGGCTCCATTACGCTCTGCAGAAATCCAGAACCCTCCTCCCCATCCGATGCTCACTCCTCCTCCTCCGCCCTCCCAAAGGACCGATCAGAGCCCCCCTCCCCCAAGCATCTTCAATGTAAATTACATTTCCCGGGGTGGGCTGGGTGGGGGGCGCCCGGGGAGAAGGCCGAGGTTTCGGCAGGAGAAGTGCATCCCGCCGCGGCCGCGGCGCGGGGCTGGGAGACAGCCTGCCCGCACTTTCTTTGTCTGGGGCGCCGGCTCAGCGCGCGGCTCTCCCTCCCTCCCCAAGGCTCCCCGGCGCCGCAGATGGCGATCCTTCGAGCGCCCTCCCCGCGCGGCGGTGGCCGAAGACCCTCTCCGCTCCAGCTCCCCATCCCTGCGGGACCCACCTTGTCGCCCCACGATCTCGGCGACATGCTCGGAACTGGGCACCGGCACGCACTCGGTCATGTTCACGCTCTTCTTGCGCGGCTCGCTGTCGTACAGAGAGGCGCCCTCGTCACTGTCCAGCCCCAGGAGGGAGAGCTGGTCCAGTGCGAGCTGCAGGGCTCTTTGGTCATCCAGAGTCTCGCCCCCGCCGCCACCCCCACCGCCGCCTCCCCCTCCGCT